ATCTTACTCCGTTTGCTAGCTGATATTGAGTTCTTTTCTTGGATGAGAAACTTCTAGAATATGGGTGGGTTCTTTGTCCTTGTCTTGATATCATCTAGCTTCAAGGTTTATAGTACTTGTAGTGCTTCTTAAGGCAGTGTAACTAGAGAATACTTGAGCCTCCTTAGTTTGCTCTGGCTTTCTCATTCCTGAGGAAATCTTTAAATTAATAAAAAGAAAAAGAAATGCTATGGACAATGATTAACATTTTCAAAGGAAAGTGAAAGAAAGTCTTAACACTTTGTAGCCTACCCTGCTACCCTGCAAACCAGTGTTATCACTACAATAGAAAGGCCTACCTGTTTTTTCTTTCTGCTTAGTTTTTCCCCTTTCCTCTTTCAAATCCAGCAAACATTAAAATTTAGCCCTTAATTTGTAAAGATATAATATACTGGATTAGTGCAGACATTTATATTTTATTGAAAAGTATCAAGAAGAAAATAAACTGTTATTAATATTTTATGTTTTCTTCCAGGTCTTGTTTTTCCGTGCAAGTATGTGTATTTTCTTTTTTTCAAAATCAGATGATACTCTGGATAGAGTTTTTCATTGCCTTTTTTAACGTTGTGGAACAGCGTCTTAAACACTGAGGAAATATTATGTGCTAGTCACTGTGCAGAGTGTGTTAACTGGGTGGGGGTACCATTTCATTCTCTTTGCCAGGAATGTTCTCCCTTCCCTTTTTATCTGTTTTTTGAACTTACACTTAGCTTTCTAGTGAAAAATTGGATATGAACCCCTAACCCCCAGGCTGAATTAGGTACTATACTGCTTTGTTACCTTCCTTCTCTGTACTAACCTCTTGGCACTTGTAGCTTTGATATGTTTCTGTTTACTAGTTTGTTTCCTCCACTGGGACAATGGGTTCCCATAGGGAAGCAGTTTAATCTTCTTTCCATTGCATCCCTATACTTTAAATATCTGAATGAATGCATGAGTGAATGGTTTTGTTTTTGTTTTACAAATCACATCAGGTGGTTATTATTATTCTCTGTTTTACAGATGAAGCAGCTCAGACTCAGAGACTGAGTAACTTTGCAGGTCACATAAGTGGAAACTACGGATGCTGGAAGAATTCAAACCTAAGTTCTTTCTACTGTATCACACTGCCAAAATGAGGAATAGCTAGTAAATTTTGGAGCCTGAATAATCAGGCTCTCAGATTTAAAAGTACCATACTTATCTCTAAACTACACTCATATTGATATATTTTAAGCCTTGCTCTATTTTTCAAAGTCTGTTTTTTCTGTCCCTAAATATAAAAAAATCACCTGACTTTGTATGCCCTCCTTCTATTCCCCACCCCCAAATTAAAATCTCAGATAAAATTTTTAATTTACTTCTTTAGCATATGGTTCCAGTTTGAGTCTTCATTTTACCTGTGTAGTCATGATCTTTGAACAAAAAACACACAACTCTCCATTTTGTTTTTTTAAAGTTACTTATTTGATCCTGTTATTTCCAAAAGCTATGGTAAAAATGATATCATTACCATTTGACAATTAGTATTTCAGATGTAGCCCTTGGTGCAGGCCTGGCCCCCTGAGATTAGGTACCTTTTGCATTTTATTCAATGCCCAGCTGGAGTCCTTTTAACTAATTATGATGAGTAGGATCATCTCAGTGAGCTCTCTGGTCTTCTCAGTTGTCATAATGATTGTGAAGTGTGGTAATTTAGTTGTTAGATTTGCTCTTTAGGTCAGCCAATCTTCCCATTAAAAAGGTTTATAATCTAGGTTTCATTAAATTTCTTTCAGTTTATTCAAATTTGTAGTAAGAGCTGGGGGCAGGAAGACACGTATTTCCTCTCCATTCATTGTGACCATTGATTGACTTCACTTTTCTGGATCTTTTTCCAACTGTAAGATGTAGATTTAGGTTGATTATGTATAAGGATCCTTCCAATTCAAAGATCCTGTAATTTAGCTCTTAGGATCTATTTTACAGAATAATACAGAAGTTTGTTTTATACTCTTAAAAACTGTTTTTAGAGAATGCTTTTCTTCTGCAGATCTTAAGATGCTTATGTTACCTGTTGGCCATTATATTCCAGTGAGAAATGTGATTAAATAACTGAAATTAGAATATTTGGGCTTTAATTGAAAAGATTGGCTTATAATAATATATACTTTAAAAAATTATATTTATTATATATTCATACATAATTCTAACAGAATTTTTTTAAAACTTGTAATTTCTGAGGGTAGATGAGCATTCTTATGCCTAAAAGATCACCTTTAAAAAATTCCAGCTTTAATCAAAGCAAATGGAATGAAGTAAATGTTAACTATCACTTATAAGTCCTAAAGTTTGATTTAGAAGACTATTATTGCAAGAACTGCACTGATACAGTCCCAAAGCCTGTTAATGTTGTTTAAGGAGGATGTAGCATGCTCAAACTCAAAAGTGCTCACATAGATTTTGTGGGTAGTAGAAAAGGTATTAAGATTTAGTCTGGAAGATAGTTTTTACTTGCTGAGCAACTCCAGTTGTTCTTTTGAGTTTGAACATGCTGCCTCCTCCTTAAACAGCATTTGTTGTGTTTGAACATGCTACCTCCTCAAACTACATCCATTGTGTTGATAGAATCTGTATTTCTCCAGTACTGTTTTATTACTGCTTATAGAGGAATGGTGTTTTTGAATGGGACCACTTAGAAATTGCACATTTTTCTGTTGTATAGGGTAAAAGTCAAACTTGTGAAATTTATTTAATAGCTTATAATACAACTCTTCAAGCGGGAAAAATTTGGGAGTAGATAAGCCTTGTTTTAGTTGCTTGATTAATGATTCTGTGTTTTAGAATTATTACTGAGGAATTGATTAAAAATTATATAATTACCTGAAAATCAAACATCATTGTTTCTATAAAATGAAGTAGCCAGGGGGCTTACAATGTTAGTTTAAGATACAGTTCCCACAGATTTTTCTCTAAGATGGTAATTCTAAAACTTCATGTTAGAGAACTCCCATTTTCTGGATTATACATGGCTAGACATGTTGCAATTTATAGGCTAGATTTTTGTAATAAGTGAATAACTCTAGAGATGGTAATGAGATGAAAAAAAAGAAAATTGATAATGCCAGTAAAGACATCAGCTGCCATCCTATGTAAAGCCTTTGTATAACATTTACTTGATGAAAAAGTAGTGGCTGATACCAGAATCCCAGTTTATCCAAGACAGTGTTGGGAGAAAGAAAAAGATATAAACTATTATAGATGTTCATATACAGTATTTTAAAGCTTTCTTTATTTGAGATGTATATTTTTAGGGTTTCTAACTGTATTTGTATGTAGACATATTTAGGAAATGCCCTAATGTGGAGGGAATGAGTTTTTTACAAACTAGGATTTTAGGATATCAGTGTCTATAGATAATAAGAAATTATTTTTTGATTTGACCATGAGTTGCTTTGGCTTTAATATTACCTGTATATTTTACTGACATATAATTATATGTAGTTATTTGCTGGGAAGACAAAACTAGAGATGTGAGAAATCACTGAAAAAATTTGCTTGAGCCTTTGTCCTAATCCAGAAGCCAAACCTTATAGAGGTATATGAAATCATGAGGTTAAGTTGACATTCTTCCTGAGAATCATGACAGTCGCCCAGGCCCCAATTATTTTGGTACATTAAAATTGGTTTTGTAGAGACTTATAAAAGATATTGGAAGGAAATAACATTTTTTATATCATAATAGGATCATTTATTCCCAAAATTCTGAATACATGTTGGATTGTAGTTCTTTGACCTGTGTTTCTCAAGAAAACAAGAAAGACACCCTGATCTGAGAATTTAATATTTTTACCCAATGAGTTCATATGATACTGCTTATAGACTTTACTTTGGGTTTTTTCATTCATTGATTCAATGAAAAAATACTTGTCAAGAATACACATAATCTTTTCTCTCATGGTGATCACTAGAGATGATTTACAGAATTATTATTTTGTGTTGTATTGTTCTTGACCTGGTGGTAATATATTGATGTGTGTCCTGTCTGGTTGTGGATGTAGGTATAGATATAGATATATTTTTTTATAAATTATATTTATATTTTTCTCTTTCCCTCCCTCCCTCCCTCCTTCTTTCTCTAGCTATATATGTATATATACACACAAACACACTCACACATATATAATCTTAGCTGTAGTACTTAAAAAAATTGGCTTTGTTGCCAGAAGTAAATTTCAAGACCTTATGCCAAGATAAGAATGTAGATGTTCTTTATATTTAAGGATATTTAATATTCTGGTTTTCTGTTTATTGTTTTAGTAATTAGGTATTTATGAAACATCAGGAATTTGAACATTAGATAAAAATGAAAATGTTTTGATGTTTATTTCCTCATAACTGTTGCGTTAATGTTGCAGTGAATTTCAAGTACAAAGCTTAGTGTTTAGAGTATGGTGTTCATAAAATCATTAATTTGATCCTCTTTTGGAAACCACTTAACTTTTTTAGGAAAAACAGTTCCACTTCATTAAGCAAATGTGTCCTGTTAGTCCTTTAGGTGAGAATTCAGTACAAATAGTAACCTTTTGTTTGCATTCTTATCCTTTTTATAGAATCTAGATCCTCATTCTTGATCAGTTAATCACTACTGAATAAATCAAGGACTAGTAGAGTTTACCTATCATCTTTGTACTTTGATTTTAAGCATGCTCACTTTTACAGCTTTGTAACACTTATTTCATAAGATTGACAGCTAAACAAATGATTTAGTCAGGGCTTATAAAAGTAAGGTGGAGTGCCATGTCATTTAAATGTTACATCATTTAAATGTGCTTAAAATTTGTAGCTGTTTCTTACATTTTGTTGAGGTTTTAAATATTTAAAATGTTATTTTCCTAATTCTCTATTTTAAAATTATATTTTGCTACATGATGGGACAGTTTGGTAATGGACAAGATAGTGTTTTTAAACCATATTTGTTTTCCTATGCTTTATGCTTTTAGGTGGCAGCCAATGCACACATTCCTCCAGACTACCTCCTTAAAATTTGTGAGCGGATTGGTCCCTTACTAGATAAGGAGATCCCTCAAAGTGTTCGTGGAGTACAGACATTACTAGGTGTTGGTCGGCAGTCTCTTTTACGGGATGCCAAAGGTAAGATTTTCACTGTTTACAGGAAGGAGTGGAGAGCAGCATATTTTTATGTAAGTAAATGTTACTATGCTTTCCTAAATACAAATTTTCATCTACTTTTTCTTATCTTGCCAATCTTGTTTTTATTTCCTTTGTGCACAAGTAAATTTTTAGAGTCTTAAAAGGAGAGTTTTTCTGTAAAACAGTAAATACCGTAGAGGTAAAGAATATAAAATCTCTTTTTAATCCAATAGGCATCTCAAAAGATCACTGCTCCGATTAGTATAGTAGAAATGCTTCAAATATTCTTTCATTACATTTCAGTGTTTTTAATGTTTATGTGCCTTGATATCATCCTAATCACATTGCATATTTTATAATAAGTAAAGTTATGATGTGTAAAAAATTTTACAATTGAAAGTTAAAAATTTAAACTAAAATATTATCCCATCAGTGACTGTTCAATGACAGTTTCTCAACTCCACTGTTACTGTCTTTTACAGATTTTCCCCATAGTTTTATATTTAATCCCAATATATAAAATATATAAATTAGTATTTTTTTAACATAAAAGTGTGAAATTAAGCATTAAGGGTGCCTCTTAGTATAATAGTTTTCAATTCTAGCAAACAGTTTATTTCTGTTTTGTTTTATTAGCATAGTGTTTTTCAATATTCTAATTCACAAAGATAAACAGTTGCATAAATGATACCAGTTTTTAAACACCTCATTTTATAATTTAAGGAAGCTTTGGAGAGAGTAGTAGAATTTTTTTGTTTCGAAGTTGAATTATTAGGATTATCATATTTGCTTGTATTTTTTGTATAATATGAAAGTCAGACAAAAAACAAAACTATTTTTAGTCATTTATCATCTGATGTACAATGTTGTTTTACCTGTTACAGCACAATGGGCAGGTACTCCATTACATGAGCCTGTATCAAGTATAATATTTCTGAATTTTTTCCTGGCATACTTGTGCCATAATTCTATCTGCGCTTATACAGTTTTGTATGAATAGATGTGTGTAAGCCTGAAGATAAGAAGGACAAGTACAAACATAAAACCTTATTAATCCATGACATATTTACATAAGATTCAAATATATGTATAATAAAATCTTTAGTTGCTGATCAGCACAGAAATAAAATACCCTGATGGTACATTAAAGTATAGTTAAAAATGTATTTCAACTAATGGAATTGAAAACAGACATTTGCCTCTGAGGTATAGTTTAAAAAACAAACAAACACTGCTCTGTTGTTACTTGACTAACTTTTGAATCTTTTTTGTATAGATTGTAAGAGTACACTATGGAGTGGGTCTGCTTTTGCAGCTCTACACAGAGGCAGACCTCCAGAACTACCTGTAAATTGTGTGAAACCTCCAAATGTGGGTGAGTAATGTCCATGTGAGTTATAAAAATATTCTTTATTTGTTCCTTCCTGAACTCATTATAAAGTCAAAAAATAGGTACCAGAATTAAATTTGAAGTATAAATAAACTACTTACATTCTTGAGGAGTTTAATGGTTGGTCCTCATTTTTTAAAGCATTTTACTTAAAGCAAATATAATTATGGCTTTGTAAGAGATAATCTTGTTTTCTTTATTATTTCATTTTTCCCTCCCTCCCTCCCTCCTTCCCTCTCTTCCTTCTTTCCTTCCTTCTTAGCATTTCCTATTTTATATACAGGTGTTTTTAACTAGATGGATGTTCTATTTATATATCTATATACTAAGCTTAAAGATTTTACAGGGAATTATGTAAAAAGATAGCTTTCAGAAGGAAACAAAAGTACATTCTGCTATATCTGCTTGCAAAACTTATAATGATGTAATAAATTTTGTGTCTTTATTTAAAAAATCACCTTCTCACTTCTTATTTATTGAAATTCACATGTCCCATTAAGATTATTCCTGGAATATCTCTGGCCAAACCATTATGAATAAATACGAGTAGTGGTTCCCAAGGAGGTCTAGCTATAAAACCATTTATACTAAAGGTTAACTCTTATAAAGAATGTACAAATGAAGCAGCTAGATGAGTAATTACCACTCTGCTTCCCTGTTTTTTCACTCTTCTAGAAAACAATTTTATGTAGTGCCTAGTGCCTAGATAATGCCTTAAATTCAAATTGAAACATATGAATACATTTTTAAAAGGAATACTGTTTTATGTAAGCTTATAGAACTTATCTACCCAAGAGGTTAGATAAATTTAGGAAAGAAATAATTTTAAAAGCTATTTAGACAAAATCATTAAAGATTTGTAAGGATTATAAATTTATTGTACTTTGATGTGTATTGCTAACAATACTATTCCATAGTATGGGAAAAGTAGACTACTAGGTTTGGTCTAATTGGACATAACATCTTTAACATTTAAAAAAAACTTGGGAGGATATTTTGTTTGCCCTCAATTTTCCAGTGTTCACTTTCCCTTTAAAGCCTTATTCATAATTAATTTGTTGAATTGAATTGAGAGAGCTTTCATTATTCATGCATTTATGTTCAAAAGATACAGTATTTTTAGCTACACTATCAGTATTATTTGTAATGCTTTATACTTTCTTCAGTGGTCATATGTGAAGTGCTGAAGAGTAGTCTTTAGATTATTAGGTTTTTAATCTTTATTCTTTCTTCTCTTCCCTTTTAAAAAATACTTGTAACTCTACATATACATTCAAACTTCTAGTTTTATACAATAAGCACTTTATATTCTGACTTAAATGACTTTGTTACTCTTACAGTAATTGCTTCGGGAGTTTAGTGTCTCTGACATGGATGCTTTCACAGTCTTAAATCTGCCATGTTATTTGGGGAAGAGCTATTAGGATAGAGGTAATTCAATCATGATGTATTTTCATGTAGTATACACTAGTCAATATACTTAAGTGTTGGATATTTGGAATTCAGAACCTGATACAAACTTAGAGGATTTCATTAGAAAAGTAAGCAAAATAAATATGAAATCTTTTTAAGTTTTTGATTTGAGACAATTTTCTCATTGTGGGGTATAGTTCTCCACAGCTACTTTAAAATCAATCTTTATAGTTTCACAATGTAAGTAAAATTTAATCATGAAGATAAATCTTGAAAGTTTTATCAAAGAATCTTAGAACTAGACAGAACTTTAGCAACACTATTTTATAATAAAAGTGTTTCTTGGTTAAGTAAATGTGGGAGCCACTCAATTAAAAAAATAGGGAAAAGAATGAATGCATGTGGGACTGCACAGAGCCTTTCTTATGCTAAAATGTATAGTGAATCACCTTATGGGGGACATTTCCTAACTAAATTGATAATGGAAAACCCTTTTCCTAGAATACCTTTAATATTCTGAAAGTTTTCTGGGAATAGATTTGGGAAACTGGGTTGTAAATCCCTGTTTACATCAGAAAAACTCAAAGCCCAGAGAAGTATGTGACTGGGTAAGTTATACTTCTTGACTTCCTGTCTATTTCTCAAACATTTCATGGTCAGATGTCACCATACTTCCTTGTATAACATTGACACTTGTAGATCTCTGAAGATAGAGGATTAGCTGCATTACTTTTAAATTTTAAGGCAAGTATATATCATGGTATAATTCACATAAAATAAAATTCCTCCTTTTTAAGTATGCAATTTAGTGAGTTTTGACAAATTTATAAAATTGTATAACCACTAGCACAATAAGAATAGAGAACATTTCTGTCATACCCTAAATTTTCTTCATGTCACATTGCAGTCAATCCCTTACCCTCTCAACTCCTGGAAACCACTAATCTCTGTCACTGTACTTTTGCCTTATTTAGAACGTCATCTAAATGAACTCATATATTATGTAGCCTTTTGTTTGTCTGATTTTGCTTAGATCTAATACTGCTTTGATTCATGTATGTCATTTCATGTATCCATATTTTTTCCTTTTTATACTATTATCAAGTAGTATTCCATTGTATGGATGTACCACAATCTGTCTATCAATTGATGGACATTTGCATTGTTCCAGATTTTGACTATTATAAATAAAGCTGCTGTAAACATTCTTGTATTGAACATATGTTTTCACTTCTCTTGGAGAAATATCTAGAGTAGTGGGATTGTTGGATCATACAGTAAGTTCAGGTTTAACTTTTTAAGAAACCACCAGATTGTTTTGAAAGTGGCCATCCCATTTTGTATTTTCACCAACAATGTATAATTTTAGAATTAGCTTCTTAATTTCTAAAAAAAAAAGAACCTGGGATTTTGCCTGGGATTACATTGAACCTGTAGATCAATTTGGGGAAAATAAAGCTTAACAGCATTAAGCCTTCCAATCCAGGAACATAGTATAATTTTCCATTTATTTAGATCTTCTTTAATTTCCCACAGCAATGTTTATAGTTTTCAGTGTACAGGTCTTGCACATCTACTGTGAAATTTTTCCCCAAGGAGTTAATGTTTTTTGGTGCTGTTTTAAATTGTGTATTTTAAAATTTCAAATTTTGTTGATAGTAAATAGACAATTTACTGTTTTCTGCAGTTTGTTGTCTGCAAATGAAGACGGGTTTACTTTTTTCCTTCTAGTCTGTTGGCCTCATAGTTCTTCCTCCTGCATTATTGAACTGCTAGTGCCTCAATACGATGGTGAATTGAAGTGGTGAGAATGGACATCCTTGCCTTGTTCCTGATCTTAGGGGGAAAGCAGGCAATCATCTGCTATTAAGTATGATTGTAGATGCCCTTTATCAGTTTGAGGATGTTCCCTTATGTTCCTACTTTGCATAAGATTTTTATCATAAGTAGGCATCTCCCACTTTAGTTTTATCCAGTACAGTTGGAATTATACTATTATTTCTTTCAGCTCATTTTAACTGATATTTTATGTAAAATAGCACTACCTAATAGAACTGTCTATGATAATAGGGATGTTCTAGCCTGTGATAATCCAAAACAGTAGCCACTGTGGCTACTGTGTGAGGAACTAAATTTTTAATTTTATGGAATTATAAGTAATTTGACAGTAAGGAATCACTTATGGCTAATGGCTATAGCACTGCACAGTGCCAATCTAGAACAATATGAGTACCAGTAAGCAGTTCTCCGGATGGGTACATAATTTGGTAATAATGTATTAACTAATGATGCATTTAAAAAATTAAACCTGGAATGTTTCCTATTTTTGTTCTTAGAAACTACCTTTAGCTTTTCCTATTTTGACTTTTGTAACCCACTTTAAAGATCACACTATGCCACTTCTTTTCAGTAAAAGTTTTACAATTGTCTTTGGGCAAAAACAATACAATTCTGACTCTATCTGGACTCTCCAGTGTATTAGATTATTTATTGAAATGTTCCCATCCTTTGTGCAATTTATCAACTATGTTATTTAGTAATTTAGTGAAGTGGAGGTGAGGGAGCATGGGGGTAGAATTTGGAAGTTAATTCCCAGATTCCATTCTCCAGACTAACTACTGTAATAGTTTAAATATGTGTGTACTTAAGAATACCAAGAAGGAGTTTCCAAATTTCTATAGGGCAAGAGCAAAGATGTCTATGATATTTGCATCATTATAAGTCAAAGCTCTGGTTGTGCCATTTCATTATCTGTATGCTTGACTAATAATAAAACTGGTTTTGCATTGTAGAAAAATTAAATCAGAGGAAGAAAATTGATTTTAATTCAGAACAATATTATGCCACTCAAAGAAATCCCGGGGCATATGTAGTTAATATTTGTAGTATTGTTTGAGATCTTGCACTATAATCACTAAGTGTTTTTATTCCTTTATTCCTTTAAATATTAGTATTTGTTTTGGAAACTTTGTAGTAGTTACACTAAAACTTGAAAATTAGATTTCACATACACAGAGCTCTACTTTTGAGCTAGTTTGTTAGTACAAAAGTAATTTTAAAAGTCTGTTTCATGTGTGTTTGAAATGAATAGTTGGAAGAACTAGTATTATAGTTATTATCCATCATATTATTCATCATGGTAAAAGTTTTACAAGTTTTCCTAATTAATCATATGCTAAGCAATTTTCATGAAATTATCCATAGAAGTGGCAGAAGGATGGCTTGTTCATTTTAGTTTGAGACTGACATACCTAAGAAACAAATGTGCATGCTTATAATTCTAAGCTGAGTCAAGGACATGATGTGTTAAGACTTTTTTCCTCTTATCTTTAATATAGTTGACATAGCAGTGCCCTGTAAATTACCTTGTAGGCCTGTAATTTATACTATATATAGCTCAGGAGGCTTGTATTAACTCTAAAGGCAAATTAATATATATGTGTTGTCATAAGATTCATTTAGCATTGATTGGCTTTTGACTTACTGGCCATTGTATGGTTATGTGTCACATGTAAAGCCAGAATTCACTTGGAGGTGGGAACCCTGCCTCTTGTCAATATGTAAATGTAAAT